ATAAAGACTTAAAAAATGGTCCACAGTGAAAAAAATCTTTAAAAACATATATAGGTAGATAGACAGATATAATTATCAGAATAGCTGATCCCAAAGTTTGGTTAAAATAAAATGAGACCCTGATATAAGAAATAGGAACAGCTGGGTTAATAACCAGAGAAACGGGATTCATTAACTATTGCAGGGTATCAAGTGTTTGAGAAATATGGTGGCCGTAGTAATTACAAGGGGCTTCCCAGGTGGCGCTAGTGATAAAGAATCTGCCTGTCAGGGCAAGAGATGCAACAGACTCGGGTTCGATCCCTGGACCAGGGAGATCCCCTGGAGGAGGAGACAGCACTCTACTCCAGTATTCTTGCCTGGAAAATTTCATGGGTAGAGGAGACTGGCAGGCTACAGTCCATGAGGTCAAAAGAGTCAAACACAACTAAGCTACTGAACACGGTAATTACAAAACCAATGCTGGCTGTTATTAAGCTTCACTGATTGGGGAAGGGAATGGCAACCACTCCAGCATTCTTGCTGGAAAATCCCATGGATGGAGGATCCCGGAGGGCAGGCTACAGTCCATGGGATCACAAGGACTCAGACACTGAGTGACTAACTCTTTCACTTTCACACTTCACTGATACTCTGAAAAAAATACAAGAAAAAGCTGAGGGGATTAATCCCAGCTGCAAGTTAGGTACAAAAGCCAGAAGACCTTCTTGGTAGCACATAATGAAGCTCTCACTTCCTGCAGTGTGGGGAGAAAGCTTTCAGAGAAAGCTGAAGACCAGGACCAAGATATAATTGCCAGGGGCCTCCAATCTGGCCGAGTGGTTGGGACTTCCAACCAAAGGCGGCGGTGCGGGCTCAAACCCTGGGCAGGGAGTGGTGATCCACATGCCTCATGGCCAAGAAACCAAAACATGAAAAAACAGAAAAAATACTGCAAAAAAATTCAATAAAGACTTAAAAAATGGTCCACAGTGAAAAAAATCTTTAAAAACATATATAGGTAGATAGACAGATATAATTATCAGAATAGCTGATCCCAAAGTTTGGTTAAAATAAAATGAGACCCTGATATAAGAAATAGGAACAGCTGGGTTAATCCCCATCCCCGAATTTTGTATCTACACATTCCCCTGAGCTTTCTGAGCCTGCAGAAATGGCCTAGCCTCCCTATTAAGCATTCCCTGGTGGCTCAGATGGTAAAGAATCTGCCTCCAATGGAGGAGACCCAGGTTTGTTCCCCGGGTCAGAAAGATCCCCTGGAGCAGGAAATGGCAACCCACTCCAGTATTTTTGCCCGGAGCATTCCATGGACAGAGGAGCCTCGCAGGTTACAGTCTACAGGGTCACAAACAACTGGACACAACTAAGCAACTAACTTTCACTTTCAGAGAGAAAGCTGCATTCCAACATTGACTGGAGATTATGAGTCTTCTCTACTGCAAGGCCACAAGTCTCCCACTCAAGATCCACCCTCACCTCCCTTCCTGGTCACTTATAAATAGGCTTAGTTAAGTCATAACATAACCCAGCTGGAGACAAGCTGACAAGGGGAAAAAAAGGAACTATACCTTCACAGAGTTTCAAGACACGTACCAGCAAGAGCTGGGAGAATACGCTCGGAATCGTCTTCTGGAGGTGCTTAAACAAGGAGGTTGGAATAGAAGTTCAGATAAATCAGAGTTTGTTGACTTGAAAACCCTCTCCTGGGATAAAAGATTTAACACCTTGGCAAGACCCCTAAAAGATAGTATAAGCCCACAACTAGACAGCTGCCACAAGAGTGGAAAAAACAATGCTCGTGTTGAATGAGATTGAAATGCCAGAAATGCCCATGGTTGATGGTGGAAAAATGAGTTAAAACTCTCAGAAAAGTGGAGATGCTAGAGTGGATAAACCAAAAAAAGTCAGAAAATCTACAAGGTGATTATGTTCCAAGGGAAGACTCTAAAGAATGTGCTGGAGAAAGCGGCACCGACATCTCTGGGGTGGCTCTCCTCCTAGGCCAAGGCTGACAGTGGGAAAGACCATTACAGAACTAGGCTCGCTGATATAGTGGGATGGAAAGACTCCAAAACACAGAGGCAAGTTGGCAAATCTTAACCATTAAGAGCTAGGTGGATTCAGTTACTATAATGACAGGCAAGGCTGGAGGGAGGCAGAGGGACGGGGTCGACAGGCATAGAGTTTACACAGTTGGCTCATAAAACATGAAGCACCTAAAGGTAAAATAGGTGGGCAGCCAACAAGGGTGCTACTCAGTTTGTGCCAACTAAGGAAATTATATATGGATGCCCAGGAGACTGGAGGCGGTTATTCCAATATCATAAACCCTGGCCCATTTTTACAACTCAGAACCGATTAACTAAAGAAGAGACCAGATCCCCAGGAAACAGGACTCTACAAAACCAAAGGAAGTATTCACTCTTCTGATTCCCATAGTTCTTCTCCAAAAGGATCTTTGAACATCTGTTCACATAACCAAACTAGGGAGAAAGGCTACCCAAACATTTTGAGGACTGTTAGACACAGGATCCAGGGCTTCCCAGGTGGCGATAGTGGTAAAGAACCCACCTGCCAATGAAGGAGACACAGAGATGTGGGTTCGATCCCTGGGTCAGGAAGATTCCCTGGAGGAGGTAACGGCAACCCACTCCAGTATTCTTGCCTGGGAAATCCCATGGACAGAAGAGCCTGGCAGGCTACAGTCCACAGGGTCACAAAGAGTCGGACACGACTGAAGCATGCACTCATGCATGGGAGTTGTTAACAGACGATGAATGGAGTCTTTTGTTGTTCAGCCGCCCAGTTAGGTCCAACTCTTTGTGACCCCATGAACTACAGCACCCAGGTCTCCCTGTCCCTCACCGCCTTCCAAAGTTTGCCCAAGATCATGTTCATTGCATCTATGATGCCATCCAGCCATCTCATCCTCCGACTCTCTCTTCTTCTGCTGTCAATCTTTCCCAGCATCAGGGACTTTTCCAATGAGTCAGCTGTTCACATTAGATGACCAAAATACTGAATGGGGTCTTATCCAAAGTCTAATTCACAATGGGTTCACTGAGCCTGCAGACCCCTCTGGTGGTCATCTCCTCAACCCCTGAAAGTATATCAGAATAGACATACTCATGGTTAGCACAACCCCTACATTGCATCTTTGGACTGTAGAGTAAGAGCTATAAAAGTGTGAAAACGCTACCTGCTACCTCCTAGACAACATAATAAAAAATAAAATCAAAGCTTCGCTCATGGCTCAGTGGTAAAGAATCTACCTGCCAATGCAGGAGATGCGGGCTCCATCCCTGGTCCAGGAAGATCCCACATGCCGTGGAGCAACAAAGTCCATGCACCACAACTATTGAGTCTGTGCGCTAGAGCCCAGGAACCACAGCTACTGAAACGCCTCTGCTCTACTAGACAATTCACCGCAATGAGACGGGGTCTACGAGAAACTACCACACCTCAGTTAGAGAGCGGCCCCGTAGTCCCTACTCACCACAACTAAAGAAAAGCCCTTGCAGCAACGAAGACCCAGCACAGCCAAAATAAATACATAAATAAAATTATAAAACACAAATCAATAAAAACAGGGCCTCTTTCAAAGGCCTCAGATTACACTGTCCAGTTGGTAGCATTAACCACACGTGGTTACTGAGGATTTGAAATATATCAGTGAAACTGAGCAGTTGAATTTTTTATTTTAATTAATAAAAAATTTTAAACATACCCGAGTTAGTTATTGGAAATCTTTTCAGTATGTTTGGGACAACTCGAGTATGCGAATCTACTTTTCAGTTGTAAATTTTATGAAACTTAAATATAGATTAAATATTTCTGATGAAATGTTAACATCCAAGTTGGAATGTAATATAAATATAAAATTCACTTGGTACTCCAAAAAAAAGATTGTAAAATATCTCATTAATAGTGTTTTATGTTTATTACATATGAAAATATTGCTAATAGACTGAGTTAAATAAAATATATTGCTAAAATCAATTCACTGTTTTTTTGCTTTTTTTAATGTGGCTATTAAACATTTTTAAATTGCATATGTGGCTCACATTATATACACAGTGGAAAGTACTGGTCTAAAGGATGCAGAAGCTGTGGTTCCAACCCTATCTCCATTTAATTCAGCAGTCTGGCCCCTGCAAAAGCCAGACAGATCCTAAAGCAGTGGTTCCCAACCGTTTTGGCACCAGGCACCAGTCTTGTGGAAGACAATTTTTCCACGCACCACGGTGGAGGGGCGATGGTTTCAGGATGATTCAAGTGATTATATCTATTATGCCATTGCTGATGTGACAGAAGGCAGAGCTCAGGTGGTAATGCCAACAACGGAGAGTGGCTATAAATACAGATGAAGCTTTGCTCACTCGTCCACCACTCACCTCCTGCTCTGCGGCCCAATTCCTAACAGGCCACCGACCAGAACTGCTCCATGGCCTGGGGGCTGCGGACCACTGTCCTAGAGAATAACCACCAACTACCATAAACTCAGCAGGCAGAAGCCCCGAGTGAAGCCATCCCATCAGGTGTGATTTCTTTCCTAGAATTGTCATCCTCGGTTGGTGTTAGGCTGTCCTGGTTCATGATATGTGGCACTTGATTTGACGAATGTTTTCTTTCCCATCGCCATTAGACAAGAAGCTCAGAGACAGACTGCTTTCACATGGAATGGCCAACAGGACACATTTACAGTTTTGCTTCAATGGATTCCAACCTGGCTTCAAAGTCACATCTCTCCCCCACCCCATTCCATGACTTTATCAAGTTACAAAGCCTTGATTTTTTTTTTCCAAAGAATAAAGTTAGACTAATCTTCTTCATAGGATTGCTATGAAAACCAACATGAGCTAATATGTACATAGTGTTTGGCATAGAGTATGCAATCAGAAAGTATTGGTCTCTCTTCTCCTTAGTGGACAGAGATAAAAACCTTAAATGATAAGGACCTAGGGCATGTTAAGTCGGGGTAAATATGATATTACCTTTATTTTGCTGTGATGCTTACTAGTCAGTGCTGGGAAGGCTGGGGCTTAGTCCATCTGCAGGACGTAAATATTAGTGGCTCTCAACCCTGGTTGCAACCAAGCTTACAAAAACCTTGGAGAGTTTTTGAATTATATGAATGATCAAGCCTCCATCCAGGGATTCTGGATTAACTTAAATTTTTAAAGTTATACTTAATTCAGTTATCAGAAATTTTAAATATGTTCAAGAATAAGCCATCTGGGGTAATACCCATGTATTTTTTTTAAGTTCTCCCAGGAGATTCTAATGTGCAACCAAGGTTGAGAGCCCCTTTCCTACCTGGCCATCTTGTCCTTGGTCTTAGATATGTGATCTCTGCTCCTGGCAGCTTTTCTCAGTGAAAATCCAATGCTCATTTGCCATAGATAAAGATGAATAAGAAAACAGCATCTGGTATGTTTGAGATCCCTCCTGGGGAGAGAGGTCATTGTCATTATGTTCAAGTTGAAAGGAAGGAAGGAGAAGGTGGGTCCCTTCTCCCCCTGCTCTGCCTCCCCCATTTCTGGACTAATTATTCTGAGTGTGTCGTGGGGTCAGGGACCTGAGGAAGGTCTTAAAGCACCTTAACGAGGAGGCCAGCCCTGCCGAGCCCAGCTGTGGACTGGCAGTTGATGCTGTTTGCTATGAAACACAAGCACCCACGTGTCAGTGTATTTGCAACACATTTCAAGGTCGAGTCAGGAGGCCAGGAGCTGTTGATGGATTATTTATTTATTTATATATTTATTTTGCTTACTGGGAAATCTGAGGTGTGTAGGGTCTTCAAGCAGCTGTTGGAAAATCATCAGGTCACAGAGAATAGACCCCAGTGGAGAGGGAAGAAGATTCTGTTGTGTCATTCTGTGTGGTCAGCTCGTCCCTTCCGGATTCCCTGTCCTGGGATGGACTAAGGGACCAAGGGATGAGGCATAGGAAGCAGAAAACCTTAACACTGGAAGGACCTGAGAGGTAACCAGTCCAATGTCCCATTCAATGCCCTTCAAGCCACCCGTTCCCCAGAGAGGGATCCACCTGTGTCCTTGATGGTCTTCTGTGATGGGGAACTCACCGGGGGCCAGGTATCACTTGATTGTCCAATGTCCAACCCCAAACTACCTCAAATGAGTCTTTCTTGTGGCTTCAATGCACCAGAGACCGTTCGCTATCCTGAAAGAGTGAAGGCATATACTGAGTTACCTGGTTCCATGCAAACACACGGAATACAAAAGCAAACACATCCAGTCACATCAGCCTCAGGGCACCAGACACCTGGAGTCACTTATTACTCTCACATTTACTTATTAGCAGCCTAGGAAGATGCTCTGAGCACAGTGCAGATGACCTTTTGTTTTCTTCTTTCACTTGACATTTCTTTTTCTATTTTCTTTTTAACAGCAAACACATCCAGTCACATCAGCCTCAGGGCACCAGACACCTGGAGTCACTTATTACTCTCACATTTACTTATTAGCAGCCTAGGAAGATGCCCTGAGCACAGTGCAGATGACCTTTTGTTTTCTTCTTTCGCTTGACATTTCTTTTTCTATTTTCTTTTTAACATTTTCAAATCCTTTTTTCTCTTCCTTACTCATGAAGAGAAAGAGCCACTGTCAGTCTAATAGTAATGAAGCCTTTGAGGGCCCCCTGAACCTACATCCATCCTGCAGAAGCATCTTCTCAAAGCCCTAAGATGACACTACTTGCCCTCTGCTAAAGGACATGTATTTCAGAGAGTTATAAAGAGCATGAAGTTTGGGGTGACTCAGGGCTGGACCCAAAATCTAACCCTACTACTTACAGCTCCCTGGGGAAAATGAGTTAACCTCTGCATCTCAATTCCTTATCTGCAAAATGAGCTTAATACCAACCTTCAAAAGGGTGGGAAAATGAAAGAAAATGTATGTATAGAAAACAATGCAATACAGTAACATTAACAAATCCAAGGAGACAAGGCACAAAACCAGCTAAGTGAGGTCAGAAAATTTTCTATAAAATTAACACCCACTCATGACTTTAAAAAAATAGAGGCAAACTAGGAATACAGACGAACTTTTTAACTGACAAATTGTATCCACAAAACATCTACAATTAAGCTCCATGCTCCAGGGTGAAATGTGAAAAATTGCCATAGTTATTCAACATTGTATTGGAAGTCCTAGCCAGAGTACTAAGGCAAGAAAAAGAATAAATGATATGACAGCAGGAAAGGAAGAAATTCAATTGTCACTATTCAAAGTTGACATCATGGCCTAAACAGAAACTCTAAAAGAGTTAATTGCTAAATTATTAAAATGTATTTATTAAAATAATTTATTAAATAATTAGAACAGAAAATATAGCATGTTGCTGAAGAGAAAAATGCAAAAATCACTGTATGTCTAAATACTGAAAAAAATGTTTTTAACTTTAAATATCATTTAAAATAGAATCAAATATATAAAGTATTAAGAAATACATGAAGTGTTCTCACTCCTCATCCTAGGCTTACTCATCACCCCATCCATCTTATTCTGCAGCAGCAAGTCACAAAAAAAAATCAGCCTGACCATAACTACACACACACACACAGGCTCCACTTTGCTAATCAGGCCAAGGTCTGTGCTTGAGAAGGAACCAAGAGAAAAACATACTCACCACGTCTCATTTTTGCTACCTGTCTGCACTGGCCTGTCATTCAGCTCTCTCCCTTTCAGGCTGCATTGTTATTTGAACCCAAGACAAGACAAAAGCTCAGGTTTGGTGAGCTCTAGGTAGGAGGCAGGCAGACAAGGCGGTTAATAATAAGAATCAAACCACCAAGGAAATTGGGTGCAGGTTGAAAAAATAAAAAAGAATATGGGTCAGGACTTTAGCAGCAAACAAGTGTGGGTTCAATTTTCAGACTTGTCTTTTGCTCCCTCTATGACATAGGACAATTTGCATAAGGACTCCTGTAAGAAATAACTGAAGCAATATATGCAAGTACTTGGCACAAAGTAAAGCTCAATAGACTAAAGTAAAGTTCAATGAAGTTCAAAAGACAGAGGATGAGATGGTTGGATGGCATCACTGACTTGGTGGACATGAGTTTGAGCAAGCTCAGGGAGTTGGTGATGGACAGGGAAGCCTGGCATGCTGCAGTCCATGGGGTCGCAAAGAGTCGGATGTGACTGAGCGACTGAACTGAACTGAACTGAAAGTTCAATAAATGTTGACAATGGGGATGGTGTGGGGGAGGAATTGAAAACGTCTCAGAAATTACTTAGAAACAGATGTAATTTTATAATATAGAAATCAAAACTGAACCAATGAGATACTCTTTTTGTCTACCAGTGACTGACAAATACTAATAAATGTGTAATTCCTAGTACTGGCAAGGATGTGGGGAAAGGGGCTGTTTCATGCAATGAGGCGTGCATGCATGCTAAGTTGTTTCAGTCATATCTGAATCTTTGGGATCCCATGGGCTGTAGCCGGCCAGGCTCCTCTGTCCGTGGGATTTTCCAGGCAAGAATACTACAGTGGGTTGCCATGTCCTCCTGCAGGGGATCTTCCCGACCCGAGGATCGAATCCTCATCTCTTACATCGCCTGCATTGGCAGGTGGGTTTTTTACCACTGGTGCCACCTGGGAAGCAATGAGAGGAGTTGATGCAAATTTTCTGGAGCGAATTATAGCAACATCTACCAACTAAAAAGCATACCCTTTTACTTACAAGAATTTACCTAGGGAAATAATTACAGGTGTGTGCCAAGGCATATACCCAGTATGTTAACTTCCCAGGTGGCCTTAGTGGCAGGTTGGATCCAAGGATCGGGAAGATCCCCTGGAGGAGGGAATGGCAACCCCCTCCAGTATTCTTACCTGGAGAATCCCATGGACAGAGGAGCCTGGCAGGCTACAGTCCACAGGGTCGCAACTGAAGTGACTTAGCACACAGGCACGCATGTTAACGGCAACATTCTAAATAATTAACAAAAACCGAGAAAAAGGCACATCTAAATATCCAACAATGGGAATTAAAGAAATGACGATGTAAAGACATATTTAACCCCATGGGAAAATGCTTATAACATATTCTAAAGTTAAGAGGCTGATTTTAGAACAGAGGAGAAGTTTTTATTATTCTATATGAAAAAGATGCTATAGAGTCACTAAAATATTATGAGCAGTCATCTCTGGGCAGCGGGAATTACAGCTCCTATAAGCCCTTGGTTAATCAATTTGATTTACATATTTTGAAAGTTACCTTGAAAGAACTTGTGCCATTTTCCACAACTGCTGAGAAACTTTTAGGACCAATGAAGAGAATAGGATGCCCTCACTTATCACTGTATGGCCAGCCTGCTACCCTGAGGCCACCCCATCCAGGTGGCTCCTGACTCCAGCACCCAGTCCAGCATCACACCCACCCTTCCTTCTCTGCCTGCATCTCAGGCCATCCCAGAGAAAGGTCACCTCTTTGTGAAGATAGATTAGGAGAACGTTTATGCAACAACTCATGAAACTGCCTATAAAAAGAGATTTTTTTTTTTCCCCTCCCTTCGGATGTGATTGTACTTTACCAAGTACAGCAAAGCAAGAAAACTTTATTTTTGGAAACAAATAGAATGTAACGAAACAAAAACACCTAGGGCTGTGGTAGATACTGTAATATTTCTATCTTTGTGCCCCTGGGCTTCTCTCTCCTCATCCACAAAGTTTGCCAGTAAAGGAATCATTTTTCAAATCTCAGAAAATGTCATTGATGGGGGAAAATCGACCCCACAAGCCTGAGTGAGAGACTCCAAGCCAGTCTGCACTGCCTCTGGAGCTAGAGCGAGAGGCTGGGGGCGTTTTTGTTATGTTAATAGCCTTTAGTTAATTGCCTTCTTGCTGTTCTCTGTTTTGGAGGAATAAATTGAAGGTGTTCAGCTGAAAAGAGTTGTAATTTATTTCCTTCCTGCTTTTCTGTATTTTCCAAATTTTCTAGGATGGATGGGAATTACTGGGTAGAAACAGGTTTGTCATCATTATCAGCATCATCACCATCATTACTGAAGAGAATTGTGATGTAACAGTCACAGCTACCTCCATGGCATCCTGTCAGATGCCCTGTAAAGACCTCCCTTGCCTGCCGCAATTGCCCAAAATACTTTGAACTGAGATTAAGGACTTTCATTTCAATGAGCTAACACTTCAAGTTCAAAGTGCTGAGCCGGAGGGGGGAGGACCTGTCTACATTACACCATGGCAGAAACATCTCACGGGGCTGCACCCCGGGAAGGGGCTTTCTCATCCAGGTGTTAGGGGAAGCACACTGACTGAAACCGCCCACCCTGGCCAGGCACCACAGTAACCATCTGCAGGAGTTGTTTTACGACAGGAGGTCCTGGTAAGGAACACGGAACTAATAAGCCACCACCAAGTGGAAGAGTTCGGGAAAGGTCAAAAGGAGACCTTTGACCAACATGTCCAACCTCCTCCCAGAATCCTTCTCTCTGGCATCCATCTTGGCTGAACAAGGCGTGCACCACCAGGAAGGACTCTGAGTCAGAATGATTGGCTAAAGACAACCCGGAAACTAATCCTATCACCATAAAACCCAAGACTGCAAGCCATGTGACAGAGCAGTTCTCCTGGGTTCCCTCAGCCTCCTGCTCTCTGCCTGGGCACCCTTTCCCAATAAAATCTCCTGCTTTGTCAGCACATGTGTCTCCTCTGACAATTCATTTCCCAGTGTTAGACAAGGGCCCAGCTTCCGGCCCTGGAAGGGGTCCCCCTTCCTGCAAGACAGGGGTCCACTACTTAGTAGCTTAGGTCTCCTCTCCTAACTCCTGCTCCATGGACAACCCTCTGGGCCATAGGAGTTGATTCCACTCTTCCATTTTCCCGACAGAAACCTAGCACCCAGTGACTGCTCATGGAACAGGAAGTGGGGGGAGGCGATGCTATAGTTTTGTTTTCATAGAAAACTGCTCTGTCTTCAGTCCAACAAAGGCCTGAATCTGGATTCTCTCCACAGCCTCAGAAAGGAACTGTGGCCTGGAATTCTCCTAGGTGAGGAACATTAATGGGCCAGAGGAGCAAGCCCAAATTTTCTTTGGAGAGGTGGGTGTTCCAGCTTCCTCGCCCTCTCTGATCCACACAGGAGATCCACTCGCACTCCTGCTCCTGAGAAGGAAGGAAGAGGCATGGATGGGTCG